TCGGTTAATCATTCAGGGTTGAAGCTGCCACTGTAGATCCTGAGGTCATTCTTGCGTTATTATATCAGAAAATGTTTTTCTTTCCTGTTTTTAAAAGAATAATTATCTTTGTCTATTTTTAGCACCAAATATTATGTTAAATATAAAATAGTGATTGAATATAAACAGAATATATAAGAACTGTGGAACTGAAAATGCAACACAACAGTTAAATTATTATGTTGTTATTGTTATTATTATGTAAAATCGGTAGAAAATACAGTTTTCATCGTAGGTTTTGTTGCTGCAGTCCTGGTAAATAATGAAATTTTTCAACCACACGTAGCAAATAAAAACATCCACTGTGGCTGCAATGGATTACTGAATCATGGCCTCTTTGGGCTTCAAATTATACAGCCTCTAATGATCCACTATAATCTGCATGAGCTACACAACTACTGCTGTATCACTCGGTTGTAAATCCTGCATTTCCATTTTAATAAGGCCATGCACACAAGCCCATTATTAATATAAACACACTGCCTCAATTTTAGACCTGACATGCTCGTTATAGTAATAATTTGACAACATGATTTAGCCAAACAGCAACATACGCTTCAGCTGTGTGGTGTGAGTCAAAGCCTGCATTTCTTTTAGCTTCACAACAGTTGGAAACATTAGGAGAATGGGCACATAGAGGATGCTGCTTAGATGGAAACCTGTGTAAAAGTCCCAAAGGGCAGATTTAAATGTTGTTAGTGCTTTGTGTTATGGTAATGAAAATTCAGGGTGCAAGCAGTTGTATAAAAATCCATAACTGAGAATAAAAGATGGAGAAAGGGGAGGAAAAACAGCCCCACAGTCTGACTGAGGGTCATCTGAAGCACAGCAGAATTTAGTTTGTCATGAAACAGTCATTGTTCCTCGGCGAGCAGCTGAACGAGCGCGTTGTCTCTGTGGTATAACAGTGACTCATCTGTCGGCGGCCTTTCAAGTCTCAGCTGTCTCAGCTGATTGGACACTGAAGCGAAGGACTGTGAGCCACGAAGCTTGAGTCTGTGCACTGAGCATCAAAGCATTGGAAATGACTAATATTTGTGTCCAGGTCCTTAATGGGGAAATTGGGTCGTCATAAATTATGTTAAGTGTTGGCTTTTGCTTTCCACTAACAGTGAACCAAAGATGAGCGTTAAAGGATACTCTCTGTACAGGCGGCTGTGGCTAAGGAGATAGAGTGGGTCGTCAAGCAATCAGGAGGTTGTTGGTTCGATCTGATTGAGTATCTTGGGAAAGGTATTTAATCCCACATTGTTCCCGATGCGTTCACCGGAGTGTGATTGTGTGTGTGACAGATTAAAAAGCTCCTAAAGCCCTGAGTGAATGGATGAATGTGGCTTGTAATGTTTCAAAGCACTTTGAGTGCCAGTGGGAGTGTAAAAGTCCATTTGCCATATTTGTTAATTTTTATTTTATTTTTTTCAACAAATTCAGACCATGGAGTATATTTTGATTTGTCTTGCTGTTAAATACTCGGGAGCTCAACGTGCATTAATCCAAGGCCAAAAATAGACCTCAGTCTATATTATTTACTTCCATTTGTGTCACATTTGTTAGAAATAACACAGTACCCAGCATTTTAAGGACTTTTTAAAAAATGTAACTTTAAATGTGTCTTTCAAATAATTTCCATGACGTGCTCTTTTCATGAGGTTTTTAGGCTACTGACCAAAAAAGTGACACTTTAATATCTTCTTGAACCACCGTTAGCTTTGATGATGGCACACATTCACTCATGCAATGAGTTTCGGGCCTGGAAAGTCAGTATTTGGCCACCTTCTTCAACATAGACTGAACTTTCTTAGACCACCTTACCTTTTTACTGTTGGCAGTGTGTTTAGCATTCCTATCATGCTGAAAGATTGAGCTGTTGCCAGTTAGATGGTGGCTTAAATGCAGCTCCAAACCATGACAGAGCCTCCACCGTGTTTTACAAATGGCTGTAGACACTTAACATTGGACCTCTTTGTTCAAGTTGTTGCCATAAAAATAGTATTTTACTTTTTATTTTGCTTGTCACACTATGTTATTGTGGGTATTTTTTGTAGGCTAATGTTAAAAGAAGGGAATAAAGATCTGGTTTTGTGAAAGGCTGCTAGTAACAAAGTGCCTGGAGACCCAATTTAAGCGTTTTCTGTTGTGTGCTTGTCGCCTTTTCTTATGCTTGAATAGGTCATAGGTCAGTTAACACAAAAAAGTATTTGTTTACTGTATTTGTGTTTTATTTAGTATAATCTAGATGTTGATTTGTTTATTGTGTTTTTTTGACAAGGCATGTTATTGAGTCAACTTTGGTCATTTCACAGTTGCGTCTTCAATAATTAATCCAGTCCTAATATTTCTACTGTAGATGAGTAATTAACCAATTAATCACTTTGCAACATTTCGGAAAAACTATGAAAAATGAATATTATGACTCATCTTCCAGTTCTAATTTATCAGGAATAGCATTCCGATTTAAAAAATGTAAGCCTTTGACGGTTTGTACGTTTTGCTTGATGAATGGCTCGAGTCATTTTATTGATAGTTTAAAATTTTTGACTACTTTGAATACATTTTTGCTTGATTAAAAGGAAACACTTTGCTCAAACATCACCACCACCCCGCAAAAACGCAGGATTAGTGCTCAGTTAATCATCCCGAATGCTGCTAATACATTTAAGCTCTTCCTCTGCTGTCACTGTGATTAAATCCCGTAAACACTGAAACAGCTGCTTTAGATTCTCAAACATAAATAATTGGAAATGTTGTCAAAATGTAAAGCGGGAAGCAGCTATTTCCACGAGGGTGAAGATGAACTTACAGAAGCAGCTGTTTTTAATCAATAATATGATGGGCCATGGCCACGAAACACCAAAGAGCAGCACTCAGTACAGCACCGTATCAGTTCAATCTCTTGTCTCTGCCAGACTGATCGTTTCAGCACGCCATCGCAGACAATAGGCGTGAAGATGGGCGCAGCAAGGAGAGAGACGAGGCTGCATTTTGATTTACGCGGCCTCGCTCGGTAATTGATTTCAGTGTTTGTAATTTTAGTAATCCTGGTGTTCACGGTGAGAGGAGAGGAATTCATTTTCTGCAGGAAATAAATTAGGGAATGGCGAGAGATAAAAATGGATGTTGGAGAACACACCTGAAGAGCGGGGGAATAATAATAAGACTGGTTTCACCCCCACCTTCCCCCAGACATCGCATTTGATTGGCTGAGCTCAACCGCCAGCGATGGCCCTGCAGGCTTGTTGGTAGAGAATTTATTCCATTTTGTCGCAAAGTGATGGAAATGAGGCCTCTCTGGCCGGAGAGAAAGTACATTATTGGGTAAAATGACAGAGGGAAATGTGCAGAAACATTCATGCATTCGGAAGAGGAAGCATCACAGGAAAAGCAGCGGAATAAGAGCAGAAAGCCACGTGAATTAAATGAGTCATTTTAAGGCCGTGCTGTGTTCAGATTTGAACACACTGGATGAATGAATCCAGAAAAGTGATGAAACATTGTTGACTGTGTGTTTAGCGGTGGTGAGGGTACAGCAGTGCATAAGTTTGAGGGTGTACAGGCTCAGCGTACTGCCAGGACAACCTGGATCATTTTTGGAGCCTTGCTTTCTCTGGCATTCTTTTCTGTTTAGTCCTTTATTTTGGTTTTTACCAACACTGCTATCGGCGTTTGGTGATAAATGATTAAATCTGGAGTAGGCACAATGTTTTTGGCCTCATGAGACAATAAAAATTCTTATTTTATTTATTTATTCCTATTTTAATTTTTATTTACATGCCCATGTTGAAGTCTTGTTTGGCCTGTTTGTGCTGTTGGCAACTGATATACTTATTATCTGCTCTACCATATAAAGGTCATGTAGTCCCAGGCATGGTGATGATTTCATAAATATTGCAATTATTTTATAGGTTTTTGTGGATATAAATGAGTTCTTTTGTGAGATTAAAATCCTACAATGTATTGATAAGGTGTTGAAAGGTCATAAACATTAAATATGGGTCATTTTAGCCTATTAGTAGGAAGCTGCTAGGCAACTCCAAGACTTCATAATTGATGTGATAAGAACCTACAAGGTTTTGATTTGGTGTATCTTTACTATAATAATCAAATAATCTCTGTGTATGTTGTTCTCAGGTCCCCGGGGGTTCCTATCTATATCGGTGATCATGACATCATTGCGCTGCCTACCATCTATGTAGCAACAGCCTAAAATTACGCATTTATGCAGACATGATGCCTTAAAAAAGCATCATATAAGTTTCATTTTCCAATAGTACCATCAAGTTTATATCCACTATCCGTTGAATTATAAGCCGAGTAATCACCTGGAAATTGGCTAAAAAACAGGCTAAACAGTGCACAGCACAGAAATGCAGTAGCTATAGTAAGAGAATATATAAATCAAGGCTTATTTTTTTATGCCTGTCTGGCGGGAGGGTCTTAAAATACAGAGTCTTTCAATTTTTTTGTGCGTGACTTTTTCAAATTTCAAGGAGCTTGCATTAAATACTTGTATTTTCTTTTTATCCTAAAAGGGATTTTATATGCAGAACTTTGGCTTCAGTCAATTATGTGGCAAAAGACCAAAGGTGATTAAAAAAAAATGTAATGGAGTAGTAACATTAATTATATTCACCAAAGTAATGAGTTACTTTAGAACTACACATGTAGTTTTCAGAAGTATTTGCTTTCCTCAGAAGAAGCTGGTTACTTTATGGAAAATTATGATGAACTGATGTGTATTCAGTCCAGGTTAGTTATACTTTCTTCATTCACGATTACGTACGGCTCCCGAGCTAAATAAGTGGCTTCATTAAAGGCTGAACATAATGCTCAGAGTGGATGGCCACATGCCCTCCAGCTTCTTGTGTCTGCATGGAAACGCCACAGTGCACACAAGCATGTCCTTCAGGTGAACTTGGTCTGCATGACCTGTAAACCTGATAATTACATTAACTCTGCGACACTTTAACCAGTTTGCACGTCATTTATTTACATAACATTCACATTACAGCTGGGTGATTAATACAAAGCTGCAGCATGACACTGTAATATACAGAAAATGCTGCTGCTGTTCAAATTCAGCATTAGTAAATACTTCCAGAATTTCAGCTCTGCACACAACAACAACAACACAGAAAGTCACAACAGATTCCCTTCAAATCCCCAACACCTACAAAATACAATTTAAATACCCAAAGAGGTGTTAAAGTTTCCTCACAAACAGTGCAAAAGACATTCAACGCAGCGAAACATAATGCAGAGAAAGAGAGGTGCCTGCCTTCCGGCAGAGCAGAGATGGTTTGAATGTTAAAGATTTTCAAAAAGACATTAAAACCATAACAGCCACAGAGTTTCATCCAACAGACCCGAGACAGAAATACAATTCAAGTAATTCAATGGTAGACTTATGATTCATTAAGTCTGATTCACTGCAAACAAAAAATATACAAACAGAAGCAAAAACCTCCTCTGCCAGTGTTATAAGGATATTGCACACCTAATAATTTAAATAGGATTCACTGATTAGTTATATTTATTAATGTTGTTGCATTTCTGCACGAATAGTCAGCAGAAATAATTTGTCAAAAGCAGCATTAAAAACAGATTTAAATATGACCTCAACTGCTGACCTGTATGGTTGAACGAAAGAGTAACCATATGAACCGACCAATGACTATTCAGGGAAAAGATCTGCAAATGAACACAGTCTGGGTGAGATTTCAGGATAATAAAAAAAAAATCTAGAGGAATCCAGTGACTGTAGATGTCCTCCTCTTGCTCTTGGTGTGAGGCGAGTGGCCGCTCCACCTATCTGGTGGTAATTAGCTCTTGCCGTGTTACCATGGCAGCTCAGAGCAGGTCAGGCAGGATGAGGCCCGGGGGTTTGGGCTCCACACAGTTAATCCAGAAGTTGGCACAGCTGGCGTGGTACTGATGGCCCCCGTACATCAGTTTGAAGTTGTCTGTCTCAGAGTTGAACGCCTGTTAGAGTGAAAGGGTGAAATATTATAATAATATAAACCTGTGTGTGCACCTGCTTTACCCGGACTTCATTTTAATGCTGCTGAAAGGGAAAAAAGGCTAGTTTATTTTGACGAGCACAAAGCAGCCTGCAGCAGCATCCAATTAACTTGAATTCAATTCAGTTTTATTTATATAGCTCCAAATCACAGCCACAGTTGCTTCAAGGTGCTTTACATTGTAAAGTAAAGTCTCTAAAATAATAGAGAAAAACCGCAACAATCAGACAACCCCCTATGAACAAGACCTTGGTGACAGTGGGAAGCAAAAACTCCCTTTTAAGAGGAAGAAACCTCTGGGAGAACCAAGCTGAGGGAGGGACAGTCTTCTGTGGTTGTGGGTAAGAGGGGGAGAGGAAAAAAGACACGCTATGGAGTCCATGTCAGATCTACCGAAGGCCGTGATCCTCAGATGGAAAACCCCACAATGCAGTTATTTCTATGCCTACTTTTGTAGAGACTGAAATTCAAATATTTAAGGGGGGGGAAAAATCTGCCCCTGTGAGTAAGCGAGCATCTGAAAGCAGCTTTTAAAATCTACTTTTTTGGGAAGGCTGCAGGGAGCTCGCACCAGTCCAACCATAAAAGCCTCTTAATTAACTGGGAAATATGACACATGCCATTACCACTCAGCTGTATTGAAGGTATTTATAAAAGTATGTGCAGCACGCTTATCCAGAGCATGAATCAGCTATCCTCTGAGAGCAGCACAGTGGTGCACAGCACAGCACAGCTTCAATGTAGGTGACCCTGCAGTAAATTACAGCCAAGTTACGCAGGATGAAAATCTGCCTCTGGCAAGCAAAACATTTCAATAAACATGGGCAACGCCTACTGGGGAAAAACTCAAGTCGTTAAAAATGGCCTGCATAAAATTATATGAGAGCACAAGAAAAAGAAGAAAAAAAAATAGTGTATGAATAATAGTCCAACTGGTACAAATGTTCTATCTACAGAAATGCTGTGAGAGCCACATGCTGTGAACATCTCACTGATCATAACTAAATCTGACTGTTTATAAGGAGTCAAACTAAATCTAAAGATTTTCTGCATATTTAAAAAATGTGACTGTGGTTGAAATCAAGGGATGCTGCATGCTGTGACACTTTTACACTGTTATATATATATATAAAAACTCATGAAGGATGACAGTGCCCCTGGGATTTCTGTAAATGTGCTGGAAAAAATAAATGTGCACTGGCTGACATTTAGAGAGACCTAAGATGAGAGGTGCTGTGTAGTCCTCTCTTTATACACAAAATATGCATCCAAGATGAAAATAACGTGTTTACAGCTGGGCATCAGATGACATTCTTTATTTAAATATGGAGGTATGCATGAGAGCCATCAAAACAGCCATAGATATCTTCATGCATGCTGATTTAGCTCAATCAAAACACAGGAGAAGATTAGATATGTTTGAAGCTGCATGTCTAATCAGATGAAGCCATGTCTGCAGTTTTTATATTAAATGGAGTAAATGGGGGGGGGCAAAACTGAAAAATTCCCTGAAAAATGAGAGGAAGCTATAAAAACATGATAGCAATCTCATGTTTAAACCTGCTGACAACCTGGTCAGAGGATCCAAACACACCACAAGTGACGGCTAAATGGGACAAAAATAAAGCAAAATTATTCCCCAAAGATTTAACATAACATGAACTGAAAGGAGAAAAAAAATCTGATCGTGCTATGACTGCAGACGCTGTAATTCCATCACTGTCTGTACTTGTATCAACAAATATGGACCACCTCATTTATTTTGTTGAGACAAAAAGGATAACAATGCCCCACCGCAAAGCCTGCTGCGTCACAATG